CAAGAGTAATAATTAAATAAAATAGCTAAATAATTTTAAATACAGATAGTGTAAATAATAGTTCTTATTCTGTCAGAAAATGTATACTTTCCAAAAAGACATCTTTCCTAGTTATTATTTTACCTTAAAATTAGCATTTTAAAGTTTAAAATTTCCTGAAACTAGTATTTTAAATTTAATATCAAGTCTATGAATGATGAAAGATTAAATCCTTTGATATGAAACTTCAGCATTTTAACAAATGCAAATTATCTTAAGAAAATCAAGTGACTTTTCAAAAACTGCCCATATTTGGTAAATTAAGTTAGAAATTTCGAAAATAAAGTTCTTTATTTGGGAAGTTAATTTTCGATCTATTCAACTACGTAATGATCAAAATTCGGAAATGATTAGTTTAAACAAGTATTTATGAGAAAAATTCGGCGTAAATTAAAAAGGCAATTACCTCAAATTTTGAAAACATTCTTTTAGATTATTGTCTTTTCATTAAAAATACATATATGCGAAAAATTTCAGAGTTGTCGAAGAAGATCAAAAATTAATTTCACGATTCAATCTAAGCAGCGAAACCAAGTAAAATAAAACCGTATAAAAAATTTTATAAATATAATTGTTCTTGGATGCTTCCACTTATAATTGTTCTTAGATGCAGTGTGGCTGTTGTTGTTGTCTTGTCCAGATTACATAGAACAGTAGTTGCTACAGCCTACACCGAAGAGAGTTTGGACTTCTATTTTCTGCCCCAATTTTGAGGGAGAGCACCATGGGGGGGATCCGGGAGTCTTCCACCCCTTTCCTCGCCCACCAATCCACACCAGAAGATTTCGGTCCGCCGCATATTCAGAGTGCCTCCATGCCGCACCGACACTGTAAATTTACAAACATTCATGTAAAACCGACACTGTAAATTTACAAACATCTTACCCGGGATTCCTCGCCCACCAATCCACACCAGAAGATTTCGGTCCGCCGCATATTCAGAGTGCCTCCATGCCGCATCGACACTGTAAATTTACAAACATTCATGTAAAACCGACACTGTAAATTTACAAACATCTTACCCGGGATTCGAACTCGGGCCCTTCGGTACCGTAGTAGGCGCCTCTAACCACTATACCGTCTGGGCGACTGCAGTGTGGCTCATCTCATACTACGAAGTCTCATTTATCCGATTTATCACTGCATTTGCATACTTTTGGTTAAACATATATCATTCTGCATTCAGAGATCAGATTTCTTCTCTCATTTTGAGTACACTTATATACATATATGTAATAAGTATTTCATAGAATTCCATCACAAAATTAATTTCAATTCTCTCATAAACACTTCAGTACAGTAATTTCATATTGCGACAGAATATTATTTTACATCTTAACGTACATGCTGTTGTTGCCATATATAGTAATGTTGCGTGCGTACGGGTTCGTTATAAATTGAATGCACAAGTCCGATGAAAAGTGAATAAAAATTTATTATTATCACAACAAATTAAACAAAATGCTTAAATTTTCTCAGATATTCGCGCAATATTGCAATATCTCACACTAGTTAAGTTTTTTAAACATTTGAAACGTTCAACTGAATTCAAAGAAGAGAAACGTAGAGAAAGCTAATCCGATCTCGCTGCGAATTTGCTACAGTAAACAACAACAGTTTTCTAAACACCTGAATTGAGGTGTTTTTCCTTTAGCTTTGATAAGCTTTATAACTTCTCATATTTTCTCGACCCTTCTGGATATCAAAAGAGTACAATTACGTGATCGACTGCTGCAGCCTATTCTGAGATTTAGCGGGATGACGATTACATTCATCAGTAGAAAATGCTGATGAGACAAAGTGTTCAAGTTTTATCAAAATGATACTTTTGATCGTGTTAAGAAAGGTCAATTAATGCATTTTCTTAACATCGAAACATTTGTAGTCCTACGTGTTTGTACAAATTTATATAATTTCTTATTTATTGTATCATCTTTGTAATAAACTATTTTCTAAAAGTTATGGAACAAAAAAGTTTCCGGTACTGTATTGCATTAATGAAAGAAGGATTGCTTTTTATAAAAAATATGCCTGACTGAAAATTATACACAAAGCCCAAAGAAATAGTTTGCCAGATTTCTCAAGATGATGGGCAGTTGGCTGAATGCAAATAGGCCTGTCACAGGCTAATGTAACAAGGTGACTGCCTAGCCACACTATTACCATTTTCAAACTATGGAATTTCTCAGCGAAAACGACAAGTTCCAGTCCTTCTATCAGTGACAACTCCTCCTAGGACAACTTTCCGTTTCTTTCTGTTTGAAGACATCGAATCTCGACATTACCTCAATTTATTGCTGATAATTATATAGCCATCGGAAGAAATCTATCCTTCTACTGTCAGAAAACTGAACATTCACGAGGTTATTTCGAAGAACACGTTCCTCTCGCTCCTACATGCAGAACTTCTTAAATGAGGTAGAAAAGGGAGCCTGTCATGCGGAGCAGGGTGTAGTGTCCCTCACTACTCTTCATAGATAGCTTTCTATACCTGATTCGTGTTACGATTTACAGAGAGTAAGGAATACTATACAACGAGGAAAACATAGTTTAATGGAACATTTTCCGAGACGGCAGTGTCTTCATTTTAATAAGTATCAGTTTCATCTGTAAGACTGCCCTGCATGGGATCCTGCTGACTCCATCACAATTCACTTGCACGGGAACGACATGTTCGATTCTTATATAAGATTAGTTGACTCCTTTTTGATTTAATGGCTGATAACGCTTGATTTCCCAGAGGCCCCGGAAGGGCAGTATTATCCATTAAAAACAGACAGGAAAGACTCAGAGAATAGACTGGAAAGCTCTATAATCAGATCATAAATCGATTGAGCATATATCGGGCCATGTCAGAAGAAAAGTAGATGCTTTTTCTTTCCAAGATCCTGAAATGAGCTCAAAGGAAGATTTCGGCATTTCACCCCCTCCCGACAGCAGTATTTGATAATTTATTCGATTGCATGAGGAAGAGGTGCCAAGCTTACGTCTACGCCACAGGAAGGTATATTCCATATTAAAACTGCACTTATCCTTCATTTGCGCAACAAAATTTGATTGATGACTTGATTTTTGATAATATTGTTTTCTAGAGAACAAGAAGTTTAACTTTTGTAACATGCAATAAATCATTGCATCATCATATTTGCGCCTTTTCTCATATTTCTATCTCGTTTGCTTTAAATATTCTAGCTCAAAAATGAACTATATTCTTCTTGAGTTTTAGAAGCTAGTATGTATAAATCTGCGTTTCTATGCTTTTTCCGTGGATTTCATAAGAACATCTTCAATAGCTACATCTCAAAGTTATAAGTCTAGCAAGCGAAGTCGAAACCAAGTAAATGCAGCAAGAAACTAATAAAAGATAATATCAAATAATATGTAAATAATGGAAGAACATTAACCGAAGTAACTGGTTTATATGCATACATTATGGCGGCACTACATTAGTTACAGACCGAAAGGGAGATAGTAATTTATCTTTTTTTCTGCGAACTTTATTTCACTAGAATCCTAACATGGATATATTCTAAAATGAAACAGATGATATTCTAAGAAGGAAATAGATCAAGTAAAGAAGTTCAGAATTCTCTGATTTTTGTTAGCACTGATATATATTGGTAAAAGATAACAGATCTAGGAACTATTAAAAAGCAACAAAAATGGGCTCTCAAGAAAAAAGATAGAACATTCTTTTGAATTATAATATTTATAGTTCCTATTCCGACACAGACAATATTATTAGACAGATTTTTTTTAATCTACGCCTTTAAGTATTCCTATGGCTATTTATGTTTCAAACAGTAGAAGTGTCAATAATTGTTAATTAGCGTTTCAAAAGTAAATTACTCCGTTTTTATTCTTCTTACTCTTTAAGCTATAGCTTTAAAATAGAGTTTATTTTATATGAAGAAGTAACTTTAATTTAATTTAGTTTAGATGCTTAATTTATTTACGCAATTTAACGTTGTTTAATTAAGACACAATAACACGCCGAATAAATACCAATTCAGAAGTCAAACAACAAAAATCAGCGTTAATTCACAAAATTTTCACAGGACTAGTTTCGATGGTTTTACCGAACTCATCTTCAGCTGCAAAACCGCAAATCACCGAGTGAGTGATTTGCGGTTTGCAGCTGAAGATGATGGTTCGGTAAAACCATCGAAACTAGTCCTGTGAAAATTTTGTGAATTAACGCTGATTTTTGTTGTTTGACTTCTGAATTGGTAACGTTGTTTAATTAAAATATTATAGTATCACACAATACAAAATATTAAGGAATTAACTTTAAAATCGTTGAAAGTTGAAATTCTCAAAGAATTTCAAACTTTGAACTTTTCTTTCGTACTAAAGATATTTTAATCAAGGTGGAATACCAGACTACCTTCTGTCTTTTATTATTTTTCTTTGTATTTCGGATAGAGTATTTAACAGTCTCTGTGTATGAATATTAATAATAGTTCATACTACTAATAAAATAATAAATTATTAATGGGTTTTATTTTTTTATTAGTGTACTGTAAGTTTAATATTTAAAACTATCACTAATAATGCTAAATTTATTTATTTGGTATTCTAATTATTAACATATTACTTGCTATTAAATATTAATACGCCTCCAAGGTGCAGGATATTTTATTTCTAAGACATTCCTAATAAAAGAATATACTTTGAAATAAATAGTTCGTCTCTTCAGACTTTTTTATTGATGATTTGACCGAGTGAGTGAAATACATTATGTACTTCCATCTGAGTAGCAGAAAGTTGTTGAAATGACGGTGAAATATATGCATACTCATATTCTTTTCCAGTAAATTATTTTTCTTCTCTTTGCTTATTCGCAGATCACTTCGTTTAATCCTATGAATCCTAGGTATCCTACGAATGTCTTCATAATTAAAATATTATGTCTCTTATTAGATACCCATCAGCAATTTTAAACTTTATTTTTCAGCTCCAACAGAAACTACATTCCGTGCAAGAAGAGATTCACGATGTCACTCAACAATTAAATAAGATGTCTGGAGAAGGAAACGTGTCTAGCAATGCTCAAAAGGCTTCAGAACACAAAATGCTACAGAGGCTGGATGAATTGAAGGAAGAATTCTCAGAACTTATGAGAGAGCTGAGACGCCGAAAATCGTTGGCAGACGGAAGAGTTGTCGATAACCAGGTAAAATATTCATATGACATTTGTAAAAACAAAAATTAAAATGCGATTTTTAACTCGCCATCATTTTCGCTTGGAGAAGATTGCGCTAATTTTCATGCTAACATGAACTTTGAATTAGGCCAAATTATATGTAGAAGGGAGATATTAAAATAAAATAAATATCTTTTTTCTAATATAATATGCGAGATAGAATAGAAGTGATTTCGTTATTTTTTAAAACAGGACATACTGCCTTTAATGCAGATGTATCATATCTTCAATAACATTTAAATTCTGCAAGAAAAAATTATCCTCTGATCATATAATAATCGCCTTTTCCATTATTTTATGTATATTAACTTATTGCAGAGAAATACCTTCTTCATAAACTTACTTGTAAAACTTTTGCAATTATATCCAAAAAACTTCCAAATTAGAAATCATTATACTGTGAATGGCTACTGCTTTCTCACTATACTTGAAAGATTATTACTGCAGGCTTCTTTTCTTCTGGCATCAGTCAAGGATGCAACAACTTCAGCTTTTTGTTTTTTGTTGTTGTTGTTGACATCATATTCTTCAACAAGCCTATGAGCCCTCATACAAAGATATCTCAAACTGATAAAATATTTAAAATACAGTTGCTTACTATGAAATTTTTAGGTTTAATTGCGAAATTATGGTCACTGTTTGATTCTTCTTATGTATTATATGAAGTAATGATTAATTTGCAAAAGATTTAGAAAATTGAGAATAATTATGAAGCTGTAGTGAATGAAAGTAGATTCAGCTATAACTTAACAGGAATTCAGGAGTTAATAGTGAATATAGCAGAATCAAAAGTTATTATTAATTGCTCTCATTTTCTCCCTTTGTTAAAAGTGATGTTTTTTTTATTACTTACTTCAGAGACGATTTGTTTTTAATTGCTATGTATATTGCATATTAAATTACATTCATTTAGCACAGTTGCTTTTACAACTGTTGGAAAAATTTATCTTTCTCTTTGCTATTAGTTACGCTGCTTGAAAAGTAATATCATTTATATATGCTTTTAGTCATAAATTAACACTCTCTTCAAACAGCGAACGGTAGTTTGAAACATGGATGGGGTAATTAAACAAGACATACAGAACTCAGTAAAATTTAAATGATATTTATTTAAAAAATATCAGCTTCCGCATTTGAGCTGTTATAATTGTAAGAACAAAAGTTGTTTCTCGTACGAAATTTCTTCTCAAGTGGTTTTACGTGGAATTAAAATTAAAATCACCTAGCGTACAAAATAAAATAATGCATATTAAAAATAGCTTTAGTTTAATGTCCTATATCTTAAAGAATTTCTTTGAATTACAGGACGAGGACATGGATGGAGAACTGAGGCGGCCACGGCGATTGACCTTGTCTGCTGCTGGGCGCAGGCCGAGCCTGAACACGATGCTTGCCCTGGCGTCGACAACGCGTCCGCTTGCCACCCCTACTACAATCCATCATAGTTTTGTGGCATCTACACCAAATCTACAGTCTGCGGGTTCTCCGACATCTTCTCAACAGAGACCGACTTTCCTTCAAGTAGCTCAGGTAAAAGATCATATTATCACTTGTTTTAATGCTATTTTAGTTGTTGAAGTATCAAAACTCAAGAATCATGAATGATATAATGGGAATATACTATTATTTTTCAGAAGCTTGGGATGGTGGTAAGACTTCTACGCAATCCCACTCGAATTTATATAGATACACTCCAATACGTGATTTTGAATATGACGTACCTTTCTTCGCCTATCACCTAATTCTAGTACCTAACATTAATGTTAATACCAGTAGACGTAATGCTGCTTAGTAAGATACTTAACAAGAATTTTTACTAGACCTAAAAATATATTATTAAAAGAGCTAAAAATATTTTCTCTCTAATTGCGGAATAATATTGATCTTTATAATTTTTCAACTTTTTATCTTTAGTTAACATTTATTGTCTACCATTTTCGTTCCCTTTTGATTCACTCTTTACATATATTCATAGGTTTACATAGGGGTCAGAGGTACTTAAGTGTGCTAGAAACATTTAAAATAAAGGTCAAAATGAAACTTAAAAAAAAAAAGAAGACTTATAGCCACATTTCACTAATTTCAGCCAAGCTCTATAACTGATATAGATTGCGCATATACACACAGCTCTATAACTGATTCATTGTTAATTAAGAGATGCCGAGAGTTTTGAGATGTAATTACTATGGAAGAAAATATTGAGTTCCATATTTACGTTATGCACGGTGAAAAATGCCAAAAATATTAATGTAAACAACCCACTATATTGTATACAATCAATCGCAAAACGTAACTACGGTGCTCTACAATTAACTGCCATGCGGTCACAGAAAAGCTAGAATACCATGTGAACTTCTTAACTCTTTGCTTATTAAATCGCTATGAAAGAGTGATTCTTAAACACATTTCCCACTGATTTCAAATATTCCATCGCTTAGAGTATCTGAGTAATCGTACGAATTAACACTAAATATGAAGATATTAGTTTCACATTACAAAAACTGAGGGTGATATGAAATATTTAATTTCGGTTTTATAATCAGCAGGCAAAAAAACATACTATAAGACTCAGCAAAAATTATACATTTAACAAAATCATTAAGAATCAACAAAAATTATACATTTAGCAAAATCATAAAAAATCAACAAAAACAGTACATTTAACAAAATCACTTTTTTTCTATTTTTTTGTATAATTATTCTCCTAAAGTTTTCTTAAGAAGAATTCTGTAAGAAGGCGAGAATCAATACTTCATTTACAATGCACATCGGTTGGAAGACCACTTGTTAATATTAAATTACATCGCAATTATACATAAATGGTGTAAAATAACTGCTAATGATGTAGAATCTTCTCGTCATTCATAAGCTTTCGATAATAATTGGATGCCGCTAAATATGACTACGCTATATAAAAAAGAACAAACTGATTTCTGCAAATGAGGAACTATTTTACTGAAAGAAGTAAATTTTGAGAAGATTAAATACGCGATTAAACATAAGCCTATTTAAAGTACGTATATACTTACAGATTAAATTGATTCAGCTTGGATAATGCGAGGGTTTAAATTTCAGCTTACTGGATAGGAATGAATTTAATGAAGTGCCAATTTAACGAAAGTTATTTAACTTCTAAAAAAGTAACTTAATTATAACTAATTAGCGAGATGAAGTAATTAATAAAGGCACATTAAAAATAATTAATGTTCAGTAGATTCGATATGCATGTATTATTTATTATGAGTTATTAAATTATTACTAATGTTGTAATGTTTCTAACTAACTTATCTATGCTCAACTTAGTATAAACCTTGTTGAACTATGTAATGACTTATCGCTGAGTCCAAGTGTATAAATGAAAAGTCCAGAGAAGGGGTAAACTCACCCTTAATTAGATCAAACTAAAAACACAGATGACCCGGGCTTACAGAAAACCTTCCACTTGGGCCTTAACTCAAGATAAGAAAATAAGAAACTAATCTAATTTTTAAACTAATTTTACTAACCTGAAAAACTAAACCGATTTTAGCAGAAGATTAGTTATCTAACGTAGTTGGCCCTTAATTAAATTTACTGGCGAATATCAGCAAGCACGTACAATACGGCCGAGCATAGTTACCTTTAACCCCTTAACTGCCGCGGGCGTATATATACGCCTTGCTCAGTCGATTTGTTAACTGCCCCCCAGATGCGCCCAGATGCGCAGCCGATGCGTTAACTTTGCGAATAATTTTAGGTGTAGCAGCGCAAAGCAAATGATAGCAGTTTGGAAGGACGTATATATACGCCTGGGGCAGTTAACGCATCGGCTGAGCAAGGCGTATATATACGCCCGCGGCAGTTAAGGGGTTAAACAAAGAAGAAGCTTGAAGGCAAACACGCGGCCACTAAGAACTCCTCAGCTCTTCTGCTAAAGAAAGCGAAACCTTCATTTAAATATTCTTTTTCTACTTTATTCACATGCAATGCGACACTAAAAACTTATTCTGGTAGGGAATAATAGATGGGAAACGAGTAAAGCATGCATAAAAATTAAAATAACTGTTAGAAACTTAACATAACCTCTGTACTGTATTTAACTATTTTTACTATTTTGCCTATATCTCTACATATAATAAAAGAAAGAGTCTGTCTGTATGTCAGTGTGTGTGTGTCTTTCGTTCGCGCTTCGCGTAAGCTAATAGACCCACAGCTACGAAATTTGGTACATAGGTGCATCTAGACAAGAGCCAGTGCACCACGAAGCGATTTTTTCGAAATTCGAATTAGAATTTTTTTTATTTTATGTTTTGTGACGAAATAGCGTCATTTTGAGACATAATGGACTATAGGAGAGCGAGATTTTACTCTGCGCACTCCATTTTCACATCGTCATGAAACGTAGGCACTTAGCTATTTTATGAACTTAAAATAAATTTCGTGTTTCAGTAAATCGATAAAATACAAATTTATTTAACAAAGGGAGCTTAACACCTTTCCAACGGGATTTTTTCTAAAAAAGTTTATTTTTAAGAATGTACAGTTTCAGTTTTCTTCGATTTTTGGACACGTTAAACTTTCATCTTTGCGACTTGCTTTTACAAAAAGGAATTTTGGAAAAAGTGATAATACTTTTGTATTTTTAAAAAATAAAATTTAAATCAAGCTTCCAAGGGTACACTTCTCACATCTTTAAAAATGTGAAATTTGGCAACAATTTTCCTGTCTTATTGTTGTTGATAGATTTTTGATGAAATCGCACATTTAGAATAGTTTTCATTCTTTTAGAAATATGAGTTTGGCAACAATTTTTCATCGTATTTCTTATGTCACTGTTTTAAGAGACTGGCATATTTCATTGTCATTTATATATATACATATAATACATTTTTATTGATTTTTTTTTTTTGATAAAGTTGTTCTGTAGAGTATAATTCTGCGCGGAATGTTATGTTTTTTTTGAGTTGCTTTCATGTTTTTTTTTTTTTTTTTTTTTTTTTTTTTGCATATTTCACTGTTTGTAAGATATTGAAAAGTTTTTGCATAATTTTTTTTCTTTAACAGAAAGTTTGTTAATTTTTCTATTAGGATAAATTATATTTGTATTAAGGGATATAGTTTATTTCATTGTAATTTTTTCTCTTCAAAATATAAGATAAAATATCATTAATTATACTTTGCTTTTCAGAATTTTTACTCTACGCAGTTTTTAAATTTAACGTTTGGTGTTTCCTTCAACCATTTTTCCGGTACATTTAAAAGCCAGACGAAGGCTGGCAGCAAAGCTGCTAGTTCAGAAATAAAATATAATCCAAATCTTGCATTTCTAACAAAACGTTAAATATGTGCAAGAATGTTTTACTAAAAATCTAAATAATGTATTAGAATAATAAATAATTTCGTAACTTGCTAGAAGAACAGCGTTCATATAATAAGTTACAGCCTAACTTTCTCCCACACAAACTAACTCACTTTAGAATACCTGACCTAATTTTTGCTGTCACACTAATTTTAGACTGTACTAGAATGTCAAACAATACCTGAGAGTAAAATACATATAAACGTTTGCATAACAACGCGTATAATTCAGAGAATTTTAAAATGACAAAAAGATAACTACTGCAGCTACAAATGTATTTTTAAATATTTAAACTGAAAAAAGACTTTCCATTCCCTATACTATTGAAATTATTTTGTTCCTTTTAACTGAAAATTTTACTTTACTGAATTCCAACTTCATGTGCTCACAGCGGCCTTACTTCTGTGAGCTTATTATGGCTCAAGCTAAGGCCAATTAAATACAATTATTAATACATCAATAAAAAATTAAGTAATTTAACCATCTTTAGCTTCTAATTGCTATCCTTAACACTAACACCTAACCAGCAAAGAAGTCATTCATCAAACCTTCTACATTCTACAACATTTAAAAAAGCGCATAATTCCTAGCGTTAGAGGGTAATCTTAAGGGGACTCATACACCATAAGATGTTCGAATAGGTGACTGTTGCAAGAATTGAGATAACTTATTGATTTTAAAAGCAATTACTACCAACGTTTTACAGCTGACTACATAATATAGCTGCTTTCTGAAATAGTAATCAGAAGTTTGTGTTGCCACAAATATTTTTATAATTTAATCCGCTTTGTGACAACATTTTTCGTCATGTTTCCACCTTGAGCGCACAGTTTAAAACATTCTGTTTCATAATTTAATTCCATATTTAATATATAGCTTTTATAACATTTGGAAACTACTGTGAACCTAAAATTCTAAAAATTTCCTGTTAAATTTTTATTTTATTTTGAGTTGAGTATATAAAATGTATTTTATTTGAAAAATTTTGAATGTTTCCGCCCATAAAATTTTTCAGTATTAAAATATTCATCAGATTGTTGGTTCAGTTAGAAAGTAGTGCCCATATAAAGAATTCCATCCAATTTCAAGTATGTACCATTAACCATTTTAAAAATATCATGCGCGCAAGGTGGAAACACGGCGAAATATTTTGTCACAAAGAAGATTAAATTACAAACATATTTGTGGCAACACACACTTTCTGGTTACCAGTTTCCACAGCAGCTATATTATGTAGTCAGCTGTAAAAAGTTGGAAGTAATTGCTTTTAAAATAAATAAAATAACCCAATTCTTGCAACAGTCACCTAGTCGAAGATCATGAAGGGTTTAAGGTGTATGAGTCCCCTTAATGCTTGCGGACGACCATTAAATATTGGCCATGGAAGGTAAGTAGGCATTACATATATACGCTGTTTAAGTTCTATTTAAAACTTAAAATACAGTCTGTAAAGGTTGACGAATAACAGGAAGGACAGAAAAGAGTTAACATAAAAATGACAAACGAATCTTACAACTTTACTTCCGAATTAATTCAATTTATAGTGAATATATTACTGCGTTTTTTCAAACGCAGTTATTTAAAAAAAACATTCATTTGCGTTATTTTTTCCCTGAATTTTTTCTGGCCATTTTTTATTTCTTTCTTCGAAAACTCAAGTAACCGAATTGAGCAACACCTTTACTCGGACTAAAACAAATTTAGTATTCGTTTAGTAAACTTTACATTATTCGGACTAAAAAAAATTAAGTGCATTTGTATGTTTGTATTGTGATAAAAACCAAACAGCTTCTACAGGAATCTTAAGCGAAAAAGATATTGGAATTCTGCTTTTGATGAAGAACTCTCCTCTTTAAAATTTTCCGTGGTATAATTGGACAGTTTACCACTTCATTTCTAGATAGTTCAAGGTACAGTTGAATGAATTCAATTTTAAGATACCTTTATTATAATTTTGCTTATTATATGACAGGTGACAATGAACGGGAATGCTTGACTTTTACCTTTACTTGGCCAACTTTATCAGGTAGAGTCCCACATTAATCTCTACCAAGACTTGATTTAGAAATAGACTTAGGATATGAACTGGTTACACAATCATGTATTTATTATTAGTCCAAAGGGATTTGAATCCCGAAGGACTATTAGTTTCGTTTTGGCATTTTGCGTCGGACTCATAAATGTCGGTTCACTTTTCAAACTGTTGCCACAAAATGTTAGAGTCCTGCATTATATTTGAAGAAATTAAATAATGAAAAATCTGCATAAATGTATGTATATTTCTCGTATTGTGATAAAACAACGGTACATAGAGTCATCGAATTTTGAATAACGTAATCCTCCAACGAATATGAGCATGTGGAAGACCAAATTTGAAATTTGAAATTTGTTTTATGATCGATTTCCTATTTTTTAAAATTTTGACGAATTTTTGATTAACAAACTCAAGGATTTCAAAGCGAGCAATGGCAACGTTGTGCAGAAAAAACATTTTTATCTCCAGCGCGTGAGTCTCTGTATCGGAAATTCTAAAGATATGCTGGTTTTAAAACTATTTTGCGATATTGCTGTTGCACTGGATCTTATGGTTTAAGTGCGAGGAACATGATATTTAATAAAGAAAGGTAACACACAAAATGTTAAAAAACGCCCCTTTGGACGTAATTTAAAATCTGAAACATTTCAGATTTTTTTTATTGATGTTTAATGTAACTTTAAAAAATGTTTCCCATGAAAGCTATTGAAAGTGCTGCGCAAGATACTATAACTTCATGATCAGCATGAGTTTAAGCATCATTCATTGAGATAATGCTTAATGATTTTCAGAAGCACTACACGATGCATGCAACAATATAAAAAATAAGATTTGTGTTTTGCATAAAACTTTAACGTAGATGAACTAAAATTATATTTTATATTCGGAGAAATAAAATATTGACTTTTTATTTCTAATTAAAAGTTAAAATTGTAGGATCGGTACTTACTGTCTAGGAGTATGATGTCTGTGAATTTACTTCAGAGGTGGCTGTCTAGGGGCTAATAACATAGTCCGATTTACAAATAACTTGAATATTTAATGGAAACATGAATAGCTGTTGTTACAAACTATAAAATTATTATATGCGTAGAAGGAAAAAGAGATTATTTACAGATGAAGCGAAGTAACATCTTTCAGCCGCATCATCGTCTTAATGGCGAAATCGTCTGTATTCTCTCATCGGAAAGAAAAAAAAAGAGTTCTATCTCATAGATTTCTGCGTCGTCCGATTATTGTAGACGATGCCATCCGACAAAATTAAATAATATTCACTATATTACCTCAGGTTAAAAACTTAAATGAGACAGTATTCATTATTATTTCAGGTAAAACGCTAACTAATAACATACAGTATACAAGCACTCTTCATATAATTTCTTATTGTTGATTAATAATTCTTATGCAACTTATCTTTTTCATTTTTAGGAACGATTTGGAAGGAGAAAATCTGATTTCAATTGATTTTTCACCTTTCAGAGAAGCACGGATAGCATTATGGGCAGAAATGATCGACCAATATTGTACTATTCCATTTTTCTGCAACCTAATTATCAATTTCCTACTTGTGCTGTGAATGGAACAGAAAGAAGCTTCAAAAATAATGTACAAATCCTCCATTTTCCTTGGAATATTTAAACTTAGCGAATTCCATATGAAAAATTCTGCATGGTTTTATATTCCAGTTGGAAATGCATTCTCAAGATCACTGGAAATATCACTGAAAACAATTTTATGAAGGTTTTGAAGAATTTAATTGTGAAAATTTTGTAATTAGCTTAATTTACATACTTTGGTTGCTTTAACTGTGGTTTTTGCAATCTGAAAATTTCCCCTATTATTAGTTATTAACTTCCAGCATTATTAATGTTAGCCAGTACATTTTCCCACATAGATTCAGCTGATGCTTTGTCTGTCAATATTGCTTTTCTAAATGCTATGATTTCGAAAAATTTCCTTCTTTTTAAATATAATTAGATAATTTTAATATTTTCACACTTTTTTTGTTTGTGAATGTGTGTGTGGGCAAAGTTTTATTGGAGAGTGTTGACTGTACGACATTGTCTCATATGATTCACCTAAAATGCTTCATATAACTGCACTGCAAAACCCAGAAAATTTTTATAATTGTTATAGCATAATATGCATACAGTTTTTCAAAAGAACTATTAACTTCGTTATTTAATCCATTATGCCAAAGTACGCGATGGCATGTGCCTAAAGTGAAAGATCCTTCGTGCAGGATATTTGTTTCCAAGTTAGTAACTAATTAATAGAAAAACATTCCTTTGTCCAAAAATAAATGTGTTATAAGAATAAAGGGAAATTTAACAGTTTTAATTGATTACAGTAGCTATTTATCAACCACTTGATGCTAAACGCACTTTTTACAGATCAGATTTAAAATAAATACACTTAAAAACTGAGTATGTATATCACCATGTTTTTACGTATTGTTTTTAAAGAGGATATTCAAATAAAAGGACATTTATTATACTTTTTTGACGGTATTGAAAAGATACAAGGAATTAATTATTTAGTAATTAGGACCAAATTTTTCTTGCCCATGAATAAAATTTAGATCTAAGAAAAATGAAGAACTGCATTTAATTTTCCTTAATGCATACTCATAAATTTGCTGGCTTTTTAACTCATACTTTAAAGCCTTGTCCTCACGTGATATCTCACGAATGGAAAAAAGTCGTCCATCTGAAAGCCGTTTAAAGCAATACTTCTGACATAAAATTTTGCTTCCATTTTAAACATTTTGCTTGTGCAAGTCAGTATTTTTTGCTATAAAGTAGTGATATCTAAATATAGGAATATTTACGCATCTTTTATATGATTCCGTGATAGTCCGTAACCTATACGAGCCATCAAAGTCTGCCAAGACCATCCCTTGCAAGACTCTGTAGAATATACTGAACTGGAGTTAAAAGTTATACGTTAGGCATCATGATAATAGTAATTAAAATCTCAAATTATTATGTCCAAGGTAACGATGTTGAATTAAGTGTGCCATCAGTCGAGATGGTTGGGAATTTCAGCATTAATGTTTTCTTGAAATGTTTCATGATTATAACGTATATTCCTTTACCGAATGTAGATCGTAAGATTGTGATTTTTTTGCAGATAAACTTTTCCATTACTATACTTAAAAGTTATTTGTCATCCTAGCTAGCATTAACACTTTCTGTTTTGGTGGCTATTTCCACAAATATCTGTAAACTTTATAAAATCATCTTTATATCTATCGGTTTTGTTACGGTTTCTTAATATAACTTGAAATTTTCCCAATATTTATTTATTTTAATTTATAAAGTGAACTCTGAATAAAAGTTTTGCATTTTAATTTTTTATTCAATAATGTATTTTCATTTTAACAGTTATTGATATAACTTTATGAAAACACCAAGATTAAGAGTGATAGATTAAGATTGACTGAGTGATAACTATCCTTGAAAATTTTATCGAAGCTACATGTTTTCAAAATTTTGTGTATGTACGCTGGTGGACAATTGCTAAGGACGGATCGCAAATGGCTATATAGTGTGTAAAAAAGTAAATGTAAGTTTGATGCTAAGTGAAATAAAATAATGCCAAAATGCTAGGACATAACCACAGCGATAATTTATCGTGCTATGAAATCCAGAAGGCTTTGAATGGACAAAATGATCGATTTAGTCTGAATACGTTAAAATGAAAAAAAAAAAAAAAAAAAAAAAATGCAGTTGCCATCCGCAAACATTCTGACATAAGATGTCAGTATGAGATTTGGCCACCACGGAAGGAGGTGCAAGATTCCACACGTCGTGTCATGCTTTGAACAACATTATCGAGCAGCTGTTAGGATAATTTACCCTATTTCTCTGTTAGTGCAAGGATGAGGATGTCCTTGTTTATTGGACGGCACCTGTCGACCAGCAAGACTCCCCCTCCCCAAAGCATCTCAAACATTTTCAATGAGTAAGATCTATGAAACCTCCTAAACTTAATCACAAAAAGGCAAGCACATGAGGATATTTTACTAGCTAGTAAAGCATTGATATGGATGCATGTAAAGCAACAGTTGATGACGAGTAATGAAGGGCTATTTTGTCTATAAATCTTGTTTTGGTCTTCGCTTTACATTACACATATAGCAGTACTTAGCAAAGCCTCGCTTCGATCAGTTTGGATTCACTATAATGCGGTTTTGAAAATTCTAAAATAAACTAAATTTTAATTGAATCAAATGAAAATAATTTTTAATTAGCACACAAAATTACTTTTTAATGATTCTTTCCAATTTATAGAGTCCACTCTTTTTGTGCGGTTAATTTTGCGATGTCAAAGTTATGCAACATTCACTTTTTTTCTGGGGTTCACTGTATGTACATATAACTATGCTCGGGACGTTCATTGAGCTCTGAAGGAGAAAATACGCTGCTTTAAATTTATTTTCGGCAGAGTTACAGCGTCGAAAATATAGGCGAAATATGGTATAAATCAACAGCAAACAGTATGCTGGCAGTAAGGAAACACATCCTGTATTGTTCCGATGATTGCATTGGTTTTCAAGGGATTGGTTGTTGTATGAAATAATTGCATTGTTTGTACAAAACATATCACATCATGATCTGCAAATGTTTTCAGTTTTTGCTGAAGTCACTAATAACGTAATGGAAAACTTACAGCAGTTTGGTTTGAATGAGTTGGATTCCGTCAACTAATTGAGTGCATTAAATGGAACACTAATGAATTAAATAACCAAACAATTTTTAACATATATGGACAACGGTCTTAGGACTTAGACGACAATGGTGTTGAAAATGAACCGATTAAAACTCTACAATGCGATCCATGTGTAAAAGTCAATAGTCAAAAAAATTTAAATAGTTACTGAAATAAAAATTCCATGCTTAATATTAGTCCGCCTGGATACCACACCTTTAAAATATATATATATATATATAAACTCATGAAATTTCAAGAACCTATCCCAAAATGCAGGGATCCACGAAGGATCTTCAATTGTGGGCATCTTACCGTATAGCAATTGAAAAAAAAAAAAAAAAAAAAAAAAAAAAAAAAAAAAAAAAAGGTGCTTTACGCCGCAGCTATTTGGGCATACCCAATGAACGCACGTAAATGAAGAACATTGACTTCGATCCAACGATCATTCTTCCTCCAAAAAGCAGAAGGCTTTCGTATAACACCAACTGCTGCCTTATGTGTACTAACAGTAATGCTCTTACTGCACATTCGAGTAGAAGAAAAAGCTTACTCATGTAGTTTCTTGATAAATCAGTACATAACGGGACACGACCCTTTTTTCTCATACAATATTGTTCGAAATTTAAACGAAACAGATTTATGCATATGTGGGGAAAGAAATGACCCCTAGCGTTATATATTTAACTATGAAATCACAAAAGAAAACCATTGCAAAACCAGGCAGCCCATCATACCCTGAGTATGAAGTAATAAAAAAAAATCTCGAAAACTGTGACGCAGCTTATAGCATATGACAGAAGAGAAATATGCCAAAAATTATGAAATGGAATATTTTATACATGCACTCAATATGATTCGCTAGGAAACGAATAAAATATATATACCTATGAACAACGAAATATAAATAGACACCAAAGCATTATCAAAATACCAACTGGTATTGTTGTTGTTTCAGAACAGTAATGCGACGGAGCAAAAATCTATAAATCCATAGGCAAAGTTCTGGTTTTCTACCCTGTTCCTGTGTTGAAAGGTGTGCATGAGAAATAATAGTTGAACAATAATAAAAATTATTGAACTGTTGGAAACATTGTCAAAGCATATAATGAACAGAAACTTTTAACAAGTTGCTGGAATCTGTTAAACTCTTGCTAGCAAATTGCGGAATCAATTAATTCTTAAAATACAGTAATATGTCGCATAGTCCGGATAATCGTTTCCTTCATTATACCCGATTGTTTGAAATCGAACTAATCAAGAAACTAAATATATAACAAAATAATAATTGGTTTAAAAAGAAACTTTTTTGTATTAAATAATACATGATTAATATTCAAATGTCATTGTTAAAAATAATTTTAAAATCTGCATGTTTCTCGTAATTAATTTTTTATTCTTTAAAATTTTCAGTATCTGTGACTGCACATATTTCTTCTTTGTAATTTTCACCTCTTACATTTCTTGGTCGCAACGAATTCCATTGTTTATTCGTTCGGCGAATTTAAGGCTATGTTTTGTAATAGGATCAGCATCCATCCGCTTGTCCATCAGATAAATAGAATCAGATAAGCCTTACTGATAAGACTTAGTAAAATAAATAAAAATTCCATCTGCTTAGCAATGCTGATAAATTAGTCTATGCCAAACTCAAATCTTGGTTTAACTAATTACGATTGTACATCTAAATATAATTTAGTTTGTTTTAACTGTATACAACTTATATTATCAATTATTTAATGTCTTCTGTTTTCTGCCCTATATTGCCTTAATTTATAAGAGTTATTCAGGTGGCTGTGTAATAGAAATCCTTATGGTGTGTCTACAGTGCTCTGAACAACAAGCGAATAACAAATGAATAAGCAAAACGGAACTGTCTTTTGTATAAGTTTGGTAATAAAGAGGAATATTAAAATACCTGGCATAAGAGGATGGCGTTAAATCCAAGGACATGGAATATAGCTGTTGAACACTTACTGTGCAGTCAAAACTTTACTTAATCACTTCCCCTGATCAAATTAGATTTGCTGAAATCCAAAATAAATAAAATAAAATAACAAGTTGATTAATCAAAAACAACGCTTTATTGAAAAATCCGATAGAATATTTAAAATACCTGGTAGATGAAGAAATCAATATAAAAAACAGTATAAATTCAATATTTGAGATTTCTGTAACTCCTGCCACAACACACGCACACACACACACAAAAATAAATAAATAAATAAATAAATAAATTCTGTTGTTAAGAGTATCAGAGCCATATCCTGTCATACTCAGTCTAGTCAATTATGAGAATAGTGGATTTTGTATTTTTCTGTAAAACAGGCTCGAGTATCATAAGAACTTAAAAAACATTGAATACCTTGACGAATACTAAAAAATACTTGATATTATGATAATGCCAAATGAGTAGAAATAAAATATAGTATCTTAAAATGTGTTAATAACAAAAACTTGGCAATAAAATAATAATGAAACTTTTTCATTTGATTGTGAACAATACCCTAGCTTCTTCTTTGATTGATAAGCTTAAGGATTTAAAGCAAATCGATTTTATTTCAATAATATAAATTTACGACATTCATTTTTTCGTGTAAAGATGCATTTGCGTGTGCATCATTTTTTTAAAATTCTTTCTCAATATAATACAATGCGCATTCCGCTTTGAAAACGTTTATGGTAAAAGGAGTATGAATTGCAAGCAGCTATGAATCACCTGTATTGTGTATAACAGCAGGAAATATTTGCTTTGCATACAATGGATCAAGGAGTGAAAAATTACATTTTGAGATTAATACTCAGCAACACCTAATGTAAATTCAGCAGAAGAAAAAAAAAAAAAAAAAAAAAAAATCAGTTTTTTCCGTAATGTTACAAAAAACTTTCAAGAGTCAAGTTTGCTTCTAACTTTTTCTTTGCATTGTAATATGTACAGCTTTTTGTATGTTATTTACTTAGCATCTGCGTACTTTGCAAAATGTATTCATTAATGATGCTTTCAAAAGCCCAATAAATGGGACCATGTAATCTACATTTTTGAGTAACACTAGTTAAGCAGAGAAATCACCAGTATTGCAAGTTTATACAAGGTATATATATATACATATATATAAATATAAATAAGACATATATTATGTAAAAATATATTGTATCATCACTTTAAATAAATAAAAATGTCATAAAACTTAGATGTGTTGAATTTAAGATAATTACATGCATACAGGATACAGACTGGTATAAATCTGAGTTATATGAACATAAAGGAAAATACTGTATCCAGCTTCTGTGAGCAATAAATACAGAAAAGTTAGTCATCTATAAAGCATAAAATAGCCCGTTTTTTCAGACTAAAATGGGCGAAACTATTTCGAAGGACATATTTTCTGAATAACCAAGTTCCGTCCCCCCCCCAATAAAAATAAAAATAGGCTTGTATGCTTTACTTTAACCTCAGACTGCTTCATCTGCTTCCATCAGAATATTTAAATAAGAGGAATTTTGAATAAACTAAGAATCTATGTTATGGTACCCCTCACAGTTTGGCGGAACAGGTTAAGTAAAGTGACCATATATCTCTCCTGCTTCGAAATAATCTAATGTCTCTACAGTGACGCCCGAAATAAAAGTGTGGTGGATGATGATTCTCCACACCCAGAAGTTGGCGATTGGGTCCCCTAAACCTGACTCGCCCTCTTTAAAAGGGGAAGTATATAAGGTATTTCTCCCGCCTTCTTAGCATGCCTTCCCGGTGTAGTATTCAGCACACTGGGCGCGTGTTCCAGAGGTCCGTGCTTCGATTCCCAGGGAGCGCGTTGCTCATTTTTCATCACTCCTGCTTTAAAAAAGTACCTAATGTCTCTGCAAGCTATCTCAAAAATCAGGATTGTGAAGGTATAAAACCTTTATTTCTGGAACAACGGAATTATACGAAATCAAAATCACCAAAGAAACATCTTCAACACACTTGTCCTGTCATTACAATTCGTTAGGAACATTGCCGGATTTACGTATAAGCTACACAAGCTGTACCTTATAGCCTCCACTTTCTTGGTACCCCTCCAAAAAATTAAAATATAGTATAAATAGTATTAAAATACATTATAACAGACTTATAAAGTGCCCCATATCTCAAATAGCTTAAGGCCTTATCAAGTCTAAATCTGGCTCTGGTTAGGAACTAGTTTCCACGAGGCAAGCAGTTATCTTCAGAAGTGAAAACACCTGTTTGTGACTGGCTGACTGACTGAATTTATGTATTCCAGAATACCACAAAAGTGCAGTGTCTCTAGATCATTGAATCTAAGGCTGTAAGGTGCATCACATAAATCTATCCGTACTTAGGAACCCAGAGGCAATGAGAGAGTAGGCAAGGGGGGATCGAGCATCACACGGTCAGAAAGCAACGATCATGGACATGAATTGCTGAAGTGTTTGTGTTATCATCAGCTAGAGCATAAAGGAAGTACCAAATACGGGTCATCATAATACAGTACAAACATAAATATATATAAAGATAATTACAATATATACAACAAAGCAGTGAGAGTGTACATAAATATTACGTGGGGAAGTTGGAGTCACGTGTGAGGTGAGCCGCGAATGGTCTAATATTACTATCTTCCTCGAGAACAACATAGTTGAACGTATTCAAGCTGTTTAAATAGTAACAGTTGAAAGCCTTAGTAAAGAAGTTTCTGTTCATTTTACGTAGGAGCTCTTCGATAGTTTCCAGCTTTAAATCTCTATGTAACGTAGTGTTGCTCACATAATAGTGAGCGTTAGTAATAGTATGTAAAACAGAATTTTGGATAAGTTGCAGCCTGTGAATGTGCCTTTTTGTGGCGGCACTCCAGGCGAGGCATAGGTGATTACAGTTCTTATATTCATTATATACATGAGCCGTTTTCTCTTTAGGTCCAGGCTCGAATATTCATTGAGGAGCGGCCTGAGACTATTAATGACACCAAATGCCTTTTCTCTAACGTTATTAACATGGTCCTTCCAAGTTAGCCTATCATTCAGGATAACCTTTAAGTACTTTGCGTGCTTAACTTGAGGCACTTCTTCTCCAAATAGAGTAAGTTTGCTTCTAACAGTCTTTTGCGTGCGCTTTCTCCTTATTATTAACAGCTGAAATTTAGTGGGGTTTATTGAGATCCGCCGCTGTTTGCACCAGTTTTCGATACTTGACATAATACTCTGTAGTTTCTAGGGAAATCAGCTACATAAAGTAAACATAAAATTGGTCCCAAAATTGATCCCTGTGGAACTCTAGCATTCATAACTTTGGTGCTAGAATTGTCATTGCCGATGGAGACAGTGAACATCCTATTCGTGATAAAAGACACAATGAGCTGGATGAGCTTCCTGTCGAGATGGTATCCTATTAGCTTATAAATTAGCCCCTCACGCCAGACGCGATCGAAAGCTTTCGCCACGTCCAGCATGAGGATAGCAACGTTGAGACGATTGTGTAGAGCTTCTCCGCAATATTCAATCTGATGAGTTGCCTAGTAGTAGGAAGCTTGCTGCGAAATCCGAACTGCTCTGGCGGGAGCACTTCCAAGAGCGGCTTCAGTCTGTTGAAAATTATTCTCTCGTATATTTTTCCAAGACCTGAGAGTAGACTAATGGGCCTATGCCCCTGGGGTCTGGTGGTATCCTTCCCAGGCTTCGGGAGCAGAATGATCTTCGCATGATTCCATATGTCAGGAAAATAACTAATACTTAGGCATGCGTTTATAATGCTGGTAAACTTGACAATAGCATTCAAAGGGAAGTTCTTGATGGCAACATTATTTATAGCATTATGTTCCGGAGCCTTTTTAGCCTGTAGTTTTTTAATTAGATGTTTAGTTTCGAAGGGAGTAGCAAAGTCAGGTATTTTTCTCGCTGTCGGTACATTAAGCCAGTCCTTGATGCTATAGCAGATATCGTACACGAAATTAAGATCTCTTGGAGTCTTATTTGGCTGAAACTGCTCTTCCAGGTGATTAGCCAGTACTTGTGCTTTATCTTTGTTAGTAATGGCTATGGAGTTGTCAGTGAAAATTGTCCTATTACTACTAGGCTTTCGCTTCAAATCCCATGAAGAGCCATCATTTGGGTCTAAATTAATGATTTTCTCATCCCACATCTCATTCCTATATTCATCTATTTGCTTTTTAATTAGCTTATTTAATTTATTAAGTTCTCTTTTTACCTGGGGGCTCCAGGTAAGGTGCCATCGTTTTCTTAATCCGTTCCGCTTCTTAATGAGCTCACGTATTCTATTAGGAAGTCTGTTATCATAATTGTCTTTAGTAATATAACGGGAGGATTTGTCAATAGCATTTTTAATTTCCTGAGTAAAAATATCAATAGTCCTGTCAATGCTCTTTTTTGTGCTCAATCCATCAATAATAGGCGGTTTTTATTGAAGAAATTCTTGAAACAGATTCCAGTTAGTGATTTTAAAGCATTCTGAGTTAACTTCTTTTGTAGTGCCGAGAGTAACTAAGACTATAATATTATCCGAGGTGAGCTCCTGTTTGACATCCATAGTCATGGGAATAGAGGTATTGGTAAGCAGAATGTCTAGCATATCTACTCTCTGTAGATTGCTCGTCCGATATGTGTACTCATCAGGGACATTTATTGCAACTGGATGCTGCATCAGAAAAATCATAGAGAATTTTGCCGTTTGTATTACCCTGTTTGTTCGTTGCAGACGCTCTTTTATACTCATGCACAATGAAATGTCCGACCTTGCGACGTTAAGGCTTGATTGGAAAGAACATTCCGAAATCACGGGGAAACTCAAAGCCAAACTACCAACATGCACATAAAAATGAGGATTCGCTGTCTTTCCAGCACCTACTCAGCAGGATAAGTTTTTAGAAATGGGGGGGGGGTTCCTTCGAAACAGTCCTGCTCAATCAAGCGGAGCACTTGTTACTATCACCCACACATAATACAATGATCTAGAGTCCTTCTGCTTAATAACCTTGAAGCAAAAATATAAAATTAAACATTCCTAACTCCAGCTAATTAATAATTTCAATTAACACCTAGAAATTAAGAATTAATTAAGACTGCAAAATTTGCTTTGTCTTAATGGTATTTTCGAAATATTAACAGTACACATTTTGCGATAAGTCCTACCTTCATAGAATTACAACTGTTAAGAATTTAACACTCTACGAATATATTTACTTATAACCCTAAATACTGTACGCAATACAATACCAGTGCTTAAAAATTCGTTAAAATAACTAAGTATGTTGATTTCTCAAAATGATTTAGTTTATCATTCCCCGCTAACCCTGTGGCGCTAAGTGCATCCGCATTTTTATCTACAGTTCCTCGTCTAAGGTTTGATCGTGTAGTCGAACGATTAGGTACATACAAGCCACTTAAGCAACGTCTGATATGCACCAGAATGATAACTTAGCCATGCAAGTGGTCGCTGATCCGTTTAGATTACAAAAGGTGGGCCATCGAGGTAAAACCTTTATTTTTAAAAAACATATATTATTCCCGCACACTCTTGTTCAGTCGTACTTCATTTCTTCTCCGCAGGACTAAATGTCATATTAAAATAAAACACAGGATGCTCTTCACCATTGGTGCTTTCTGCTAGGACATCCCCAGAAGTCATGTCTCATGTGTCACATTGCACTACAATTCTTTCTCAGAATCAGGCGTATGAAGCACTGGTTGACTCATTAACTTCACTAATTCCGTGAATGCTTTTTCACAGTTTCCGTCCCAGAGAATTTCTTCCTTCTTAGACTTTCGAGGTGTTTGTTAGAGGAGCAGTTATATTGGAGAAACCTTTCAAACAGCGGCTATAGTAGCCGGTGAGACTTAAG